TAGATTTGGCAAGCCATTGGTCACCTTTGTTAGAGCTGTTTATGGTGCAGAACCTTAGTGCAACACAGGATAATGGATAGTGCCTATGTTTGGATGTACACTTACATGCCATTTTTGCTATATTATAGCTTTATAAGCTTAGGTTAATCTCTCTTGACCTATTTATTCAGTTATAAAATGGAAGTAATACTCCAGGTTCGTAATCAGAGTTTACCGTTAATATATAAAGCAGCATGTTTGTGTTTAAGAGCAGCATGGCTTTGGACTAGCTTCGTGTCCACTTGTGTCATTTTCCTGATCTATAAAACAGGATGGTGCCCTCCAAGTTTGTTGTGAAAATTAGAAGCAAAAAAGCTAAGTGTTCAGGCACACAGTAAGCATCCAAATAATAGTTATGTGTGTCCTGTTTATCAGTGGCCTAGTGAAGGGATGCCTGAAGGGAAGTCAGGGTCAAAGGGCATGTCTTTAGAGACTCGAGCCTATTTTTAGATAACAGGAAAGAAGACAGACTAGAAGAAAACAGTGAAATAAATTAATCTTGTCCAGGAGCATAGGAAGGGATAGAACCTAAATCCCATGTAGGGATTATCCTTAGAAAAATAAAGATGGGTACTTCTCCCAGACTGGTAGGTGAAGGTATGACTTTAATGGTAGTTGGAGATTTAAGTTAAAAGGGTAAGAAGAGACCAGCAGTTAGCGTAATGGCTATGTTACTGGACTCCTTTGTAGTCAACTGCGGTTCGAGCCCCGGACCCACTGGCATAAAACTCATGTCGGGCGTGTGTAAATATGTGTCCAGGATCCCGAGAGGAGAATGGAGAAGAAGGGATTGTGGCGTGGCCATCCCCCGGAGAGTGATTGCTCGCTTTCTGTCTGTCTGGCAAGCACACGCGCCCTGTAGCAAAAACCGCTCAAAAAAAAAAAAAAAAGGGGGTTAGAATAGGAGAAAGGTTCATAGTTAACTGATAGTAAATTATTTCAAACTAGAATTTCTTTATGTTATAAAGGGTCATTATGAAGATTTAATAAGACTGCATAGAAATGCTATCCGTTTGCCTAGTATCTAGTAGATGCTAAAGTAATATTTTTTTTTTCTTAATTGCTAAAGGGTTCTTGTAAGAGAAAGTGTCCCTTCACCTCTAGTGGGACATGGCCTATACCACAATCTTTTTCCCTCCAGTTTTTCATTCTGTCAGGATTTGGGGCACACATGTACCCACACTTGGGTTACTTTTCAAGCCACAAGAGCCTGATTCAAACTATGGTTTTCCATATGGTATCTCACTCCCTATGCATAGGACTTAACTACCATACCACTGGGCCAGCTCTCAGATAGTTTACTCTAGATGTCTTGAGCAGATCCAATATTCCAGACTTACGTGTGTCATGTGTCTCCTTAAGTCCTCCTTAAGTGTACAATTTTGTGGTTTCCCTGAAAGTTTTTTTTTTATCTTTTCTGTCCTCAGAGATTGCTGGAGTTCATCACATGTTAAAGAAACATGCAGTTTACCCAGTGTTGCTTATCCCATTTCTGCTTGATAGTCCAACTTCCAAGTACCTATGTCCTTTTATTCTGGATTTTCTTTGCCTGCTCAAATACCAGGAGTCATGACTTTGCTCCAGCATTTATCCATATACATTTTAGAGTTGTAATGAATTTACAGCTTTTATTTCTTCCATGGGCAAGAGAGACAGAGATAGCCCCCTCCACAGGGTCTTGATGCCACGATCCACCCCTTACCAGCCCTGGATTATGGGCAAGCCCATGCCTGGCATACCTGGGGAAGTCTCTATACCTGAATCTAGAACATTTCTATTTAGGAATACCTCAGAGTCACATTTACTGCTGTATCACCGTCTGGCCCCTTGATTTTTAGTTTATCATTTCTTACATCATTTTTCATGTTTTGGCATAGTCACTATTATCGTTTTATTTTGTTCAGAGTTTTGAGTGTATTACTATTTAAGGAATTATTTAATTTTATTTACCATCTTTATTTTTTTTATTTATTTACTTACTTTAGAGGTTTTGCCTTAGGGCATGCATGCTCACTAGAGAGACAGAGACAGACGGGGGGAAGTGAGATATCAGCCCCCAACAGGGATGGCCACACCACAACCCCTCCTTCTCTGTTATCCTCCCAGGATCATGGGTACGCACACTCATGTGCCCAGTGTGAGTTTCATGCCACTTGGTCTGGGACTTAAACTGTAGTTGGCCATGTGGGAGTCTAGCAATGTAACTGCTGCGCCATCTGCTGGCCCCTATTACTATTTTTTAATTTGCTATAGGGTTCACATGCTCACCAGAGACTCTGTGTGTGTGTGAAAGTCAGCCTCCAAATCCATGACTTGAACCATGGTCAGTCATGTGGGAGTCCACTGCCTTAAACATCTTGCTACCTGTTGGCAACTCAACCATTCTTAATAACCATAATTATCTTTGATATGGATATGTCATAATTAATTATTTTCCAAGTGCTAGATATTTAGATAGCCAACTTTTTATTAATGAGTTTTTCACTTGAATCTAGAGAGAACACTATACCTTAGAGTGATTTCTTTAGAACAGTGCTGTCCAGTGGACCTTTCATGATGATAGAAATGCACTCTGTGCTGTAGAACACTAGCTACATCAGCTATTGAGCATTTAAAATGTGCAGCCTGAATTTAAATTGAATTAAGTCTACATAGTCTTGTGTGTTTAGTGACTTGTATTGGACAGAACTCTTCTAGAAACTGGGGCTGGCAGGTGGCATGGTGGTTAAGGGCACTGGACTCACACATGGCTGACTGCAGTTTGAGTCCTGGACCTGGCGGCTTGCTTTCCCACTTTTTCTTTCATTCTCGCTCTGTCTCAGTCTGTTCAAATTAAACTAAATAAGTAAATAAATTTAAATAATTAAACTAAATAAGTAAATAAATTTAAATAAAATAAATATTTTTTAAAAACTCTTCGGGACCAGCAGTTGGCATAATGGCTATGTTGCTGGACTCCC